AGAAGAGCTATGAATTGCCTGATGGTCAGGTATAATTGATCAACCGCTTCTCTCTCTCTCGCCATGTTCATCTGTTACCCTCGTTTCAGGTAATCACGATTGGTAACGAACGATTCCGATGCCCTGAAGCACTGTTCCAACCGTCCTTCTTGGGTATGGAATCTTGCGGTGTCCACGAGACGACGTACAACAGCATCATGAAGTGTGATATCGATATCCGAAAGGACTTGTACGCGAACACCGTACTGTCCGGAGGTAGCACCATGTACCCCGGAATTGCCGACCGAATGCAGAAGGAAATCACCGCTCTGGCACCGAGCACCATGAAGATAAAAATTATTGCACCGCCTGAACGAAAGTACTCAGTATGGATTGGCGGTTCTATCCTTGCTTCTCTGTCCACATTCCAACAGATGTGGATTAGCAAGCAGGAATACGATGAAAGCGGTCCCTCGATCGTCCACCGCAAATGTTTCTAAGAACTTACCTGCAAATCATACTTCGAATTTAAACAACTCTTTTGTATTTATTTACTACTGCTGTCGGTCGATTGAGGTTATAGAAAATAGTCGGCTATTTTTTACTATAATTATATGACATTCTTGATACATTCTGTTCGGATTCTGTTAGTAATGAAATTTTGTTGTTTCTATTGCACAGCTGACGAGACATAGGCATAACTCGAAGATCTCCTACGTGAGCCTACTCACTGTCAAGTATGATAGAATAGTGAAGTCGACCATTTGCTTGTATTTGAAAATGTGCAATAAATTTTAGGTCTACGACCAAATAAGATTGAATAATGGTCACATGATCAATCAGACAGTAGTACTCCATTCATTGCTTAACCGAAAGCTCTAATGCACATATTGTTGTATTTAATGTACGAAATTCATGTAATGTACTTGCTGAGATCGTGTCCTTGTTGACTGCATGAGCAGAACATCTTTGGTTGTAAGGACCTCTGTATTCGCAGTTTTTCAGCATTTTTGCTAAGCAAAAGTTACTCATCATCTTCTCCAAAAGTACATCTACCTGTACTTTGTGCCTCACCTATGGCATGTTGGCTCATGCTCAATGATTGCTGCATTTTGGCCACCACAAAAGAAGATTATTGATTGGATTAAACGTGATTTAAGCTCAAACATTTTGCTTAGAAGAGTCATCCTTATTTTCTTAATCTCCACATCTGCCGAAATCATCTTCCGAATTTTCTCGGAAAAGAATAGTCAACTTCATTATGAATCGAAGCCAAAGCTTCTGCTGGTAGTTCTGGCTGAGATGGCATCGTAACCAGCGTCCCCATACCATAAAACAACACTGACCTGACAAAGGCAGGGTACAGGCGGAAATGGGAAGAGCAGCTTATTTCTCAGCCAAGATATTTCAGAGGTTACCTCAAGCGAGGGTGGTCATCTTATTTAATTATAATTGGATTATACCTTCGCTGGAGGCACCTCAGTGTAAATACTGAAACTTATCGATAATTTATCTGTGACTTTCTCAATCAGTTTCACTAGTCATCCGCATTTCATGGGTTCCTATTAACTTTTAACTTCCGGGAGTTAAGGTAGTGGCCTTCGCAGATCTTTTGGATGCAGAAGCTGTCATCTACCTACAAAGATTCCAGTACTACTGCAGTGACAGTACCGTGCCCCTAACTACCGAAGATATTGCGTCAGTGCAGAAACTTCGCACTCATTTTAGGCATCTATTCATGTCACAGTTATTAAATTTATTGAACATTTTGTCAAGATTTTGTTTGTTTCATATAATCATTTTTCTTTATCTAGTATATCGAAAGTTATTTTGCGAAAGCTGCCTCTTTCTGTGCTGCAATATTAAGATTTTATTGCTTGAACGGGCAACGCGATTAGTATTGTTCTTAGCATGGAAACAAGAATTGTATTACCAAAATAAACTATAAATTTTGCATAAAATAATGTGGTACGATAATAAAAGTAACAGTAGACAATTAAAATGTAGAGAACAAAATAAGAATGTGAGAGAATGAAAATAAAACCTTTTAATATAGAGAAATATGAAATACTGTTGTTTAAGATCCTGGATATTTTTGTGAATGTGTGCTGAAGGCGGTATCAAGCACTCCATAGAAATCTCTTTGGACAAAGTCGGTTGAAAAGCAGAGATGGGACTAGGTGCATCAGATGCGTGGTTCAGTCACTCACTTGTGAATGACCCCACAGCATCATCTTTTTCCAGTGGA